TATATAATATATATTATATATTTATATAATATATATTATATATTTATATAATATATTTATGTTATCTATAAAATAAGGTCAGACTGGATGATGTCTAAGGTTTCTTGCAGTCCTAAGTGAACTTTAAAGTGTTATTGGAATATGTCAGTCAAATGGAGTGAGGGGAGCAGTAAGCTGCCACCCAGCTCTCCCCTACCATCAGAGCTATTATCAGCCTGGTGTGTGTTACTGCCTTCTTGTGAAACCCTCTGATCATTTTTAGGGCCCCATTAGAACAAAATTTTCTGCTGGCCACTCCCCTGATCTGTGCCACCAGCATCTAAGTCAGGCAGGTTCTAGAGGGGAGGAAACATTGCAGCCTGGGAGGGATGCCTGGGCATTTTCAAGGGTGGAAGTCAGAGAAGACAGGGTTCTTAATTAACACTCCTTCCTTCTGGCTTTGGCCCAGCTTAGACTCTTTGGGTCCAGAGGTGAGGAACCTAGAGATGAGGGCCACAGTATTGGCCCCTCCTCCAATTGTGCATTCCCCCAACACACTCCCTTCTCTCTGGTTTTCCCACCCTCTCAAACACACCCGTTCCTTCTCACACCCATCCTCTCCCACCCACATTCACACTCATGCCTTTACTTACTTTCCATCTCACATCCTCTAGACCTCACACTCACTCACATTCTGAAGTATATTCTCTCAAAATCACATGGACATTCTTCTGCCTGATTTTTCCTGCTCTTACCCTACATCATACATTTCCTCACCCACACACAGATTCTCTCACATTCCCTAGGATGAAAAGGAAGAAAACTTTGGCTCCATTTCATTTCCCATCACCAACCTCACCCTCAAAGAAACGGACCCCCACCCTTCCCCCAACAAACAGGAAAAAAGACCTTTATCTAAAATCCATGATTAAAACCTGGTACAAACAGGTAAGTTTTGTGTGTGTGTGGTTTTTTTTTTTTTAGTAGATGTACTTTTTTTTTCTCTTTCTTGTTTTACAGCAAACATTGCAAATATAGAAATATTTTTTTTCTCTGTACAATAGAACGACTACAGATTACAATGTGGGGTAGGGTTAGGCCAAACAGGAGCTGGGGCTGGCTTCTAGCCACAAGCTCTTGGCCCTGGCCGTGCCCTCCTCCCTCCCCCAAAATACCAACAGATGCTACTTCTCAGCTGACCTCAGAGTCCCACTTGAAAGATTTCCCCACCCCCTCGATTCAAGGCTCTCCCCAAACATCTGCTGCTCCGCCAGGCTTCTCAGATTCCTTTCCTATTTGTTTTCCTCATTTTTGGTTGACTCTGGAGGAGGGAGGAGGAGGACGATGGAGACGGACTGGACACAGAGAATCCACAAAAAAACCACGGACTGAGAAATCATGCGATGCAACAGCAGACTGGCCAGATCATGAACCTCTCCCCCTCACACTCACTATTTTTATATCTTTTTTTAAAGTATTTTTTTTCTTCAAAAAAAAAAAAAAAGAAAAAGAAAAAAGAGAGAAAAAGAAAACTCCCCACCTACCCCCACCCCTGAGCCACAGTTTTCTGAAGTCCCTTGTGTGTTTGTGTATATGTTTGTGTGTGTGTGTGTTGTGTGTGTGCATGTTCAGATTCGGTGCGACACTCCCAAAGGTGAGATCATCTCTGGATATATTATGCTACCATTCATCATATTTCCTTTATTTTGTTGTTGATGTCAATTACCCCTCCCCTCCCTTCTCCTGCCACCTGCTGAGGATCAGGGCGATGGGGGAAATGGGGGGCATGATCCTTTTTTAAAATTGTGTGTATGTATGTGTATGTGTTTTGTTTTTAAAGACAGTCTCTGGGTTAAAAATAGCTGCTGTGGATTTCGGTTCCTTTTGGTCCAATGAGCATCACGAGTTTTAGAAGGCAGAGGGGAGGCTAGAGGAAGGGGAAAGGGAGGAGTGTGGAGAGGACAGAGGAGGACTCAGGACTTGTGCTGTGCAGACACACCCTTCCAGTAGTCTAAGATGTCATGGAGATCCTCGTCTTTGGCAAACTGGACCTTTTTGCGCAGGGCGTGGCCGGCTGCCATGTATTCCTCCTCATCTTTATGGCGCTTACGGTTCAGTTTGAAGCGCTCCCAGATGCTCTGAGAGGGCTTGCAGGTGTACTCAGGGCTGGAGGAGTAACTCAGGTTGTGATACTGGGGAGAGAGCTGGGAGTAGGCCAGGTCCCTGGGCCGGGGTCTGGTCAGAGGTTCCAGGATGGAAGGCTTGCGGCTGCCCAGGCTGTCATGGGGAGGGGCTTGCTCCCCCTGGTGAGAGCCCGGGTACGAGTGGCGGTGTTCGCCATACTGCCGGATCTTCTCAGCCTCAGCCCGGAGGATGGCAGCCGCCGGTGTCACAGTGAGGATGGTGTCAGCCGTGGGCGACGTCTTCTCGATGTACTTCGCCTCTGACTTGTGGGCAGAGGATCCCTCGGAGCGGAAGGAACGGGGACTTCGGACCGAGCCGCTGGACGATGTGCTGGCGCGTTTGGGGGGCCCCTCCATGCTGTGGTGCCGCTGCAGCGGGTGGCTGTAGCTGTCCTTATAGACGGGGGACAGGAAGCCATGCTTGCTGGGAATCTGTTCTGACAGGAGGACTAGCTGGGGCTCGGCTGCGGACACAGCTCCAGACTTGACCCCCTGGAAGGAGGTAGACTCAGACTTGAGGGCGTCAATGCAGTTGTTGATAATCTGGTTGACTTTGTCCACTTCCTTGGCGATCGTGGAGATCTCAGCCACGGAACTCTGGCTGTCCGGCGGCAGGGCTAGCTCACAGTCTCGCCTCTCTTGCTGCTCCCCTGTCCGAACTTCCATGTAGTTGCCCTTAGTGGTCTTGGGGGTCTCGCTGCTTTCTATGAGCTTGTACTGCTCCACTTCCCCTGCGGAGGGAAGGTAGGGAATGCGGGTCACAGTCTCGCCACCCAGCATGGGCCCCTGGGACAGCTGGGCGATGCCCGGCGTCTCCAGCTCGGGCCCATATTTGAGCTCAATGATGGTCTTCTTCATGCCCCCTGCTGTCTTCTTGTGCTTCTCCTCCTGCTGCCGCCGTTTCCGCAGGCAGTAGTAGACAGCTCCGAGAACAATCACCATCCCGAAGAGGCAGCCGAGAATGGTCATGATGTAGTGGGTTGCGGTGGAGGAATTGGGTACGGGCCCTGGCGACGGCGGGGGCTTCGTAGGACAGATGGTGAGGCAGGTGTGGTTGTAACGCAGGGGGTGGCCCAGGGAGACCACGCAGTAGGTGTAGTTGGTGTGGGTGATGAGGTTGGACAGCTCAATCTCCTCACGCTCTTTGTGCAAGTTGGTGATATCAGAGGAGAACCCATTTTCAAACTGAGCCAGGACGTACATCTTCCTGAAGGGGGAGGGCAGCTGGACACCGAGCGTGGCAGAGTTGTGGGTCAGGTGCTTCACCCAGATGTTGGGCCGCATCTCTGACTTGGTGGCCGGAGTGTGGAAGGCCACGAGGGGGGTGGTGCCGTCTCCCGAGAAGCACTCGTCCTCGGCGCAGGGGCCCTCTGGCGGAGGGGTGGTGGGGGGGTAGCGGGCGGGGATGAAGCGGGATCCCACAGTGTATGACCCATCAGTGCAAAGGCTGGACAGCATGCTCAGGGCGTTTCGGTAGCTGGTCCGGCCTTGCCCGAGCAGGAAGTAGCCAGAGTAGTCCGGTGGTGACTCGCACTGCATACGGTCGTAGGTGCGTGTCATGTTGGTAAAGTCTGCCAGCCATTTGAGGAACCCCAAGAGCTCACATGAGCAATAGAAGGGGTTGCTGTAAAGCTCACAGATGGAGAGCTTGGCCAGTCCCACGAAGGTCCCACTGTCTAGCCTCTGGATGCGGTTCATGGACAGGTCGATGTTCATGATGTTAGGGCACTCCCAGAAGGCAGTGGGGGTGACCGTCTCGATGAGGTTGGCCTGGAGGTAGAGGTACTCCAACTTGCTCAAGCCTCGGAGAATCCCCTCTGTGAGGTTCCTCAGGCGGTTGTAGCCCAGCTGTAGCACCTGCAGGTTGAACTGACCCGAGAAGGCCCCATCCTCAATGTAGGTGATTTCATTCTTGGTCAGGTTGAGGTACGTCAGGTTCCCAAAGCGACTGAGGGAGGCATATTGTACACTCTTAATCTTGTTCTCATTGAGCCTCAGGTCCACTATGGTGTTGTTGATCTGCTGGGGGATGGATTCATAAGGGGGCTGGTTCTGGCTACAGATGGCCAACCACACGAAACCCTTGTCGCCTTCAATAAGCCAGCAGTCGGCCCGCACCAGCCCACCAGCGTACAGTAGGGACGCGGCTGCCACACACACGCACAGCACCCCCCACCTGCAACCTGCCATCTGGAAGCACCACCGAGAGGTGGATTCCTGGTGAGGTTGCTAAAAAGGGGTGAGGAGGTGGGGGAGTGGGGTGCCAGCAACTGGGGGAAGTTCTGAATTTAAATGGTCACCTCTTGCATGGTCCCAAGGGTGACGTGGCGCATTAAGGGGTAAGAGGAGGGTGGCTCTCTGTCCAGCCTGTGGGGACAGGGGGCTGGGCAGAAGTCAGGGGAGGGGGGAGAGGTGGGAAGCTCAGTGATGTCCTGTCCCGTCAGGCATGGTCTCAGACTAGGCTGAGGGCTGCAGTGTTCGGTGGGGAGAACCCTCCCTGGGGAAGTCTCCAGTTACTCTCTACCACTTCTGGTCTTCCTGCCGATGCCCGTGTCCAGCTCAGCTTGGACTTCTTCCTCCATCTGCCTAGCTTTCTGGCTCTCCCACCTCAGTTCTTCTTTGTGTCAGTTGCTTCTCCTGAAATAAAGAGAATAGGCAGAATTATATGTCTGTTAACCAGACACCTGACCAATGAGTATTTTTTGAATGTCTACTGAGAACCCAGTCCTGTGTTAAGGGCTGGTAGGCAGATAAACAATGGACTCATTCCCTACCCTCAAAGGGATCAGAGGATCATAGAATTAGAACTGGAAGAGACCTTATAGGTCATCAGATTTACGGAAGAGGAAACTGAGGCAGAGAAAGGTTAAGTAACTTGCCCAGAGTCACATAGCTAGTAAATATGTGAGGCAGAATTTGACTCTATGTCGCCCCCTATTACAGTTTCAATGCCTTACACACTGGGGAGAAAAGACATACATTTATAGACATTAAATACATTAATTAATTAAATATATATATTAAAAGACATACTATTTATAGAAAACACTTAATAATGCAAGTTATTTTATAATAAATGTTAAATGAATAGTACAGATAGGAAGTGTACAAGTTCAGAGGAATCATTTTGAGGTGAGACAGTCAAGGAAGGGGACTTGAAAGAGGCAAAAGGTGTGGAGAGATATAGAGGTGAGTACTATGGTGAGCGAACGAGTACCAGCCTTTAGTCCTTGGTGTCTCCAAGTTGGAGCACAACAAAAGCTCAAGAAAAACAAAACAAAACAAAAGGAAGGGTGTGGAAGGGATGTTCCAATATGCAGGATGCTGAGATCTGGCCCCACAGATGACCACCAAGCGTCTGGAGTGGGATGTTTCGAGCTCTGTCACTAACTCTAGAGCCTGTGTGACCTTGGAGGTAAGTCTCTGGGCTTCAATTTCTTCATCTATACGATGAAGGTATTGGGCTAGATGGCTTTTGAGAATCCTTCACACTCTAAATCCATGACCTGGTCTGCCATGGCCATGATACTGAGTGAGGGAGATATGCTTTGTGGTAGGAGTGATTGTTGAGGTCTCTGATCTGTCCTTCAAGGCCATCCAATTCAATCCAATACAGTAAGCATTTATTAAATGCCCACTATATACAGACTACCAGAAAGACAAAGGTAAGATGTAAACCAGTCCCTGTCCTCAAGGAATTTATATTCCATAGGGAGCCACATCCCCAAAGCATGCTTCCCCCAAACCAAAACCTCCTTCTCTTCAGCAGGGAATGCTTGTCCCAGTGGCCTTTATCCTTCTACCACAATCCTAGTATATGGTATATAGTCAAAAACAGGGACTTCATTTCAGCCCCTATAAGATGAACAGGGGGCAGGCTGGTAGACTTACAAATTTTTCAACAGATTTGTAGAACTATAGCAATATGCTTTTATGAGAAGATGTGGGCCTTGTTTGGCGAGTGCCTTATAATCCAAATGACTAAGCACCTGGGAAACCACCTTCAGCAGGCCCATCACCACAAGCAATATCCCCAATAGTTGCTTTATATTATAAAATCACTACCTTCCTCTTTGACCACCTCAAGGTCACCATCATCATTGCTAGGAATACCCTTCATTGTACTTAGCAAATCATCACCTTTACTAAAACCATTCCTGATATCAACACTTTCACTATCCCTGACATCATGGCGGTCTTTATCATTGTTATTCCCACTGCCTTCAACCACTGCCTGAAACAAGCTGTTTCAAAATGACCAGGGACAATAAAGACTTTTGTGGCTAGATGAGAGTTTCAATAGAAAAGATCAGAGCAGGAGCTCCATTTGAGTTCTCAGTAGGACACGGAATGTCAGCCAAATAAGTAAGCAAGTTAAACACTAGTCTGTATGAAGCAATAACAACAACAACAACAACAAAAATAATAACAATAGTAAGAGTCAACATTTTATGGCACTTTAAATTTGGAAATCACTTTACATATACTATCTTATTTGATTCTTATAATGACCCTGTGAATTAGGTGTTATTATTATCCTCATTTGCAGAGGGGGAAATGAAGGTAGTTCAAGTTAAGTGATTTTCCCAGGGTCACAGTATCTGAGCCCAGGACATGAACTCACATCTTCTTGACTGTATGAAGGAGGTGAAAGCCCTGCTGAACTCTGGCCAGGTCAGATGAAATCTGGAATACCGTCTTCAGTCTTAGACACTGTGTCTCAGAGAGGTTATTGATAAACTAGAATGCAACCACAAGAAGACAATTGGGATGGTAAGAGGACTGGAGACTGGGTCATTTGAGGGTTGATGGACCTGTCTGAAGGTGGTTCCCAAGTGCTTAGTCATTTGGATAATAAAGCACTCACCAAACAAGCCATCTGAGCTGCTTGAAGGGAACCAGCAATAAGACCTGTGGACTCAGATATCTGTGTACAAAGTATGATTAACAAGCAAGAGAAACTATAGATTCTAAAGGAAGGAGAGAAGTTGGAGTGAGGCAGCATCTTGGGGGTTTAAAAGCATGAAATCCAGGCTTGGACTATGACTCTGGTAGGGTAGACCTTGAATAAAAGAAACAGGATGGGTAAATGGGGAAGGAATGGGGGTAGAGTAAAACATTGTATATTAAAAAGATAAACTCAAGGAAATGCAGGACTAGGAAGAGAGGGTAACCATGGCAGAAAACATCTGGGTGAAGATCAACAGAGGAACAAACAGAAGTAATATTGTAATCAATTATATAATTATAATTATATATAATTATTGCATATTATGTATAATATATTACACACAATAAGTTACATATAATATATAATAATATATTATGTATAATATATAAATATGTATTATATATAATTTATATATAATATAATTATATATAAATATAATAAAGGGGGGAATCCATCTAAACCTCAGTTTCTTCATCTGTAAAATGGTTATGATCCTAATTATAATCATTACAGACAGGGTTGTGATGAAGATCAAATAGTGTAATGTATATAAAGTGCTTTCTGAATTTTAAAATTTCTATATAAATGTCTTATCATTCATAACAAAACTAGGATTAGAGCTTTAATATCTGTCTCCCAGACTCTAGGTGAATTTACTAGTTCCTTGTATGCATCCAGAGTCAAAAGGGATATGTCATGTGATTTCTACCCTGCAGAAAATAATTGTGAGATGAATGCTACTTAGAAAGGAGGATGAGATCTTACCATATACCATATACCCCAATGAGTTCCAAGTGAATAAATGATTGAAGTAAAAAAGGCCATGTAATTTTTAAAAATTGGAAGAAAAGGGAAGGAAATACCTCTCACTACTATGCCTAAGGGGAGAACTCTTAAACAGAGGAGATTGCAGATCAGAAGACAGACTGTTAAAATTATATGAAACGGGAAAAATGTTTTTCTTAACATTTTTATTTGAAGTTTTGAGTTCCAAATTCTATCTCTCCCTCCTTCCCCTCTCCCTGAGAAGGTAAGCAATCGGATATAGGTTATACATGTGCAATTGTGTAAAACATTTCCATATTAGTAATTTTGTACTAGAAGACTTGAATAAAAGAAAAAAATAAGAGAAAGAAAGCAAAAAAATAGCATGCTTCAGTTTGTATTCAATCAATATCAGTTCTTTCTCTGGAGGTGGGAAATAGGAACATTTTTGCATGAACAAAGTCAATGTAGCTAGCAGAAAAAAGGGAGGATGTTGATTGGAAAAAAAATCTTTGCATCAGATCTCTTTGATAAGGATCTGGTATCCAAGATCCATAAGGAATTCACATAAATATATAAGACAGAGTCAAATATACAAGATCAATGAATGAGTGGTCAATTTTCAAAAGAATTACAAACTATTAACAATCATATAAAAATGTCTCCAAATCACTAATAATAAAAAGAAATGCAAATTAAAACAACTCTGAGGTTTCACTTTATGCCTACAAAACTGACAAAGATGATAAAACCAGAAATAATTAATGTAGAGAGGCTGTGCAAAAATGGGTGTTCTGAAATACTGGTGGAGCTGTGAATTGATCCAAGCATTATTGAAAAGAACTTGTAATTATGTGAAAAAAGGGATTAAGATGTCCATACCCTTAGGACACCCTTCTCCTATCAGGTGTATTTTCCAAAGAATTAATGAATTAAAAAGCATTTTTAACCACTTACTATGTGTAGCAGGTTAGAGACATCAAAGTCCCACGTATGCCAAAATATTTATAGCAGCATTTTTTGTGGTAGCAAATAACTGGAAACAAAGTATATGTATAGCTCATCATCTGCGGGATGCATCACTGTGGTGCATGAATATCATTGCACCATAAGAAACAATGAAAGTGAGTTCAGAGAAACATGGTAAGACTTAAATGAACTGATACAGAGTGAAGTAAGTGGAAAAGGGAGGGGAATAAGCATTGCACCTACTATAAGCCAGGTTTTGTTCTAAGTCAATAACAGGAAAGAACTTACAAAATGACTACAACAATATACATGAAGAAACAAAAAAATGAAATTTAGTGCTGTGTAATTATGAACAAGCTTGGCCCCTGAGAGGAAACAAGTAAATTGGCTTCCTCAGTTTTGTTGAAGAGGTTGGGTGCTATGGGAATAGAATGTCAGACAGAATGATACATTAGTTCATTTTGTTGAACTTGTTAAAAAATGAACAATAACAACACTATGGGGGCAACTTTTTGGGTAGAGGAGGAGGGTTATATACAGAAATGGATGTGATGTAAAAGCATAAGGCATCAATAAGACTTAAAAATAGAAACATGAGGTTCATGAATCCGTGTGATGGGTTCCATATATTCTTTAGTTTTACCAGAGTCTGAAACAGGCTTCAAGGTCATGCAACCCATCCTTCTGTTCTCAGGAATGAATTGCATTAAGCCATCTCCTTAGAGATGGATACAGGTGTACCCTGCCTAATATTATTAATTGGATCTGTAAAAATGGAAAATTTGACAAAATAACATTATAGGGGAAAGTAAGATCTGTGGGAACAAAGCAATAAATATTGTAAAAGTTAAGGTCACAATGAAGATACTGTAAAAATAAAATATATCCATTTTTAAAAAGCAAAAACAAAGTGAGATTTGGCTAACATTATATGATGACATTGATCAGGTAG